GAGGTGTGACGGGGCTGATCCCAGCCCAGGGGTGTCAAGGTGGTCATGGAGAAAAGAAAGTCTCAGAGAAGGAATCTAGATGGGGAGGAGGTTGTAGGAAGAAATGAAGGGGAGGACTTATACGGTGGGGGTGGGGTTTCTGGCAAAAGATTGTTTCTGGCCCTGCAACATGGCCTGAGAGACCCTTGAGGGCCTGTAACTATAGAAGGTCAGCCTGGGTCAGGATCCTTGGTGCCTGGAGTTAACCCCCGGATGCCAGGACAGACACCCAGTCCTTGCCATATCCTCAGTATAATTTTACATCTCTCTGTAGGGCAATTATTTCTATTATATGGATGAGAATACTGAGGCCCCTAGTTGTCAAGTAAGCAATGAAAACCAAACAACTAGAAGAACAGTCAGAGGCAGGAGCAGGGCTCAAGTCTAGGATTCTTCTTCTTCCTCCTCCTCTTCCTCTTCTTCCCCGTCTCCCTCTTTTTGCTGTAGTGGAGATTGAACCCAGGACTTCACACGTACTATGCAAGCACTGAGCTACATCCCCAACCCTTTTTAAAAATTTATTTTGAGACAGGGTCTCACTAAGTTGCCCAGGCTGGCCTCAAATTAAAGATCCTCCTATCTCAGCCTCCCAAGTGGCTTATAGGCATGTGCCACAGTGCCTAGCTTCGTGTTCTTATTCTGATGCTGTGGGGACAGACCCTGACTCTTCAGGACCAGACCTCCAAAGCAAAGCCCGGCAGAAGTATGACAAGCCTGGGCCCTGGGTAGGCCACGAGATTTGGTGGTTACTGGGTCTGGAGACAGGAGGTAATTAATCAGCAAGTATTGATCCAGTCTCTATTATGCTGAGGTGGGCAAGGGGACGGCTGCAGCTGCCGTCTAGGGGTTTGCCATCATGTCCTTGCTGGGAGGATGACATCTGTTAAATCTATGCTTTTGCCCTCTGCAGACTCTTGGCCTCTGCAGAGGAGGAAGGGGGAGCCCGGGGGCTAGCTGCAGGGACAGGGTTGCAGAACAAGTGTTTGCTCCTGGCCAGGCACAATCGGCAGGCACCCGGGTTGCCTTTCTGGCTGGTCTCAGGCCATCCTTCCTGGATCAGGCCAATGCTCGGCCTGAGTCTCTCGCCACACGGATGGTGGCAAGGAGAGAGGTGTGTTTGTTCTGTCACGTGAGCTGCACAAACAGCTTCCTCAGCATTTTTATTAATAATTCATCCTGTAGCCAGGGGGTGGGGGGTGAGGGGACAGGAGCTGTGGGTAGACAGCAGCAGCGGAGACCATGCCAGGTAGAGGCCAGAGGGGAACCCAGGAGCCGTGCCTCCCAGCCGTGACCTAGCAACACAGCCAGGTGGCCTCAGGGGCCCTGTTTGGGAAAGTGGAGGCCTGGCATCTGCTCCGGAGGGACAGAATGTCCCTCCCTGCTTCCAGTCACTCCCTGAAGCCGACCCAGGACACCTGGCCCTGATGACGAAGCCAGATCGGAAACAGGCCTGAGGGGTCCACTGCATGCAGCAAGCCAGTCCCTGGGGAACCAGGTGCTGCCAGCATTTCCTGCCACGTCATGGAACCCAGGACACAGGGGCCAGCAGCATCAGGGAGTGAGAAGGGCTCTCTGGGCCTCCTCCAAGGGGCCAGAGAGAAACAGCAGAACAGCAGAGGCCCAGCCTCCCTGACAAGAGGCAGGACCTGAAGGCAAGGCAGGAGTGATGCCCAGCCTCCCATCTCCTTTCTCTGAGGACCTGCTCGCCTAGGCAGACTCCATTTCCTCCTCTCTCCAGTCTTCTGTGAGTGCTCAGAAGGCAGGAACTCACAATTGGCTTGGATCTCATGATACTCCAGGAGCAGAGAGTAGCCTTGATATGCTATTATGATTCTAGGTTAGACATCTGAAAGGACTTCCTTGACAGGCAAAAACATGGGAATGGGGAGTATGTGGTATCTCTGTTAAGGATAAACAAATAACAATAATAATGGTGCTCGGTATCTATCTAGAATAAAGTATGTGGGCTAAGCATTATTTTAAGTGCTTTAATCACATCATTACATTTAATCTTACAAAAGTCAAAGGAAATAGGTATTGTTGTTCCCATTATATGGAATGAGGAAACGAAGGCTCAGAGATGTCTGCCCAGGGTAAAAACAGCTAGGAATGGCAAAGCCACAGAAATCTGTATTCTTTTCTCTTTCTGATAACTCTGTACCCTTAACAAAGTGACTAAGGCCCAGAAAAAGGGTGTGTCCAAAGTTTTTCATGAAGCAGGCAAGAAATAAAATAGTGCCAAGATTCCGAATGCCTGGGAGGCTCAGTTTGCACAATATTTTACAGGGTTCATCTAGTATGCTTGAGGACTACCCAGCTCCTCCATTCCGGAACAATCGTTGTCTAATGCCTCCTGGGAGTGAATGAGACCTTTTTATATTTTGTTAATGAACAGGCTGAATGCTATGAGGTAGGAGCAGGCACTGGGTCTTCTCGCCAATCCCACAATGGTTGGTAAAGAGTTCCTCCTCCAGGTTCTCTCACCAGCTCCCTGGGCTGTTAGCTCTCTGAATCAGTTCTTTCTCCTCTAAAGGCCTTGGCTTTACCCTCTGTCACCTGAGGAGGAGTGCCAGGATCATCTCTCAGATGTCTTCTCCATTAACTCTGAGAAAGCAGGTGTTTCCAGATGTCCAGTAAAGACCTGTTGCATTGCAATGATGAGGGGTTCTGTTGTCCCTCTCCGCCTCGAAGGCTGGTGACAGGGAGGGCTCTGGGGTGGGGAGAGTCCTGAATGGGGACCTCTGTGTGTGCAGTGATGGCCTGGTGGAGTGGGTGTGTATCATGGTGCATTATTGCTCTTAATAAGAGCAATGAGAGACGCAGTTGGGGGTGGGAGCAGGAAGCTGAGGCAAGGGACCTTGGAATCCCTGCCTGTGGCTTGGTTTTCTGGAGCTTTCTAGGCCCAAAAGAGAGTTGTGGACAGCTCCTGGATTCTCGGCTGCCTGCGGATGAGGACGGCTACAGAGTATATGGAAAAGAGGGAGGGACGGAGATAACACTTGATCAGAAGGAAAGGGCTGAAATTTCTGGCTATTGGGGAATCGCAGGCCTTAACCTACTGATGCCTTTTTTTCCTTCCATTTTTAATTAGAACATTCAATCCCAGGAAATCTGTTCTTCACCGGAACAGTCTTTGAGAAGGTTTTCTGGGGGAATTTCCTTATCTGTTTCTCAACCGGAAAAGCTGTGGGTGGAGGTGAATGTATGTGTGTGTGTTGGTGGGGGGGGGGGGGGGGTTCCCTCGGAGTGCTAGGGGGGGGGGGGGGGGGGTGTGTGGGTGGGTGTGTGGGGGGGGGGGGGGGGTGAGGTTCCCTGTGAGTTCTAGGGGATGGTGTGTGTGTGTGTGTGTGTGTGTGTGTGTGTGTGTTAAGGGAAACTTGGGACAGAGATTTGTCCCTTGGGTCCTAGCTACCTACTGGCTGTGGGAAGGTGGGGTGCGGCTGGGCATGAGCTGCCTGGGATTAAGGCAGTTAGGTGGATTTCTGGGATGGAAATAGGAATCTTGAACTTGGGAAAGCCTGGCTCACCTGTGAACTGCATTCTCAGAAGAGGGGAAGGCAGGATTCTGCCAGAAACCTGGGATTTTGCCCACTTAAGTGCAAGGTAGGGGCAACACCTGTACTGTGGAAGTGTCTGTGTCTCTGTGTGCTAGGCCTGTCTGTGTGCTTGTGTGTAGCAGCCCATTAGTTCTGTAGGTGTGTGCAAGGAGGTGTCCATACCTGCTACCACCAGTGGTTCAGTTACAGGCCTTTAAAATTCTTGGGAGATGGGTTTCTCTTCCCTCTCCCCAAATCAAATCATTCCCATTCTGTGAGGAAGGAGAAGTAAGAGAAATAGGGTTTACCCGAACTTGGACTGTGTTGAGAAGGCACAGAGGCAGAGAGGATCAAGAGAGCCCGAGTGTTGTCAGTGAAAGGGGGTGTTTCTTTCCTACCAAGGAGGTGCTGGGTCAAGGAAAAGAGGGAAGGGACAGAGGAAGAACAGCCAGGAGAAGGATGGGCAGAAGCTGAAAGATACGCTTTCTTCTTATGTGGGTTTGGGTCGGTAGACCCAGTGCCCCATAGAGGGCAGAGATCCTAGCCCTTTGGGCTCCCGCTGCGTGCAAGCTCTGGGAACCATCAGAGTGAGCGGGCGCGGGCGCAGGCCCTGTGCTGGCAAAACTCCATTCCTGGTTTTTGCACACACCATCTCGTCTTCCCGGTACGGCTGCGGTGTCGAGTCCGGAGCTGACGCCCTCGAGCGGCCACCCAGCGGAAAACCCGGAGTGGAGCTCCACGCCTTTCGGGACGGAGCCAAAGGGCACCTCGGAGGAGGTGGCCGGCTCCGCCGCCCTGCCCCGTGCGAGGCGCGATCATCTGGGGTGCACGGACGGAGTTGGTCGCGCAGTGCGGAGGGACCCACATGCTCAAAGAGTCCCGCCGTGGGGCTCTGCAACCCTCCCCGCGGGGGCCACGGGCGGGCGGGGCGCGCGGGGCGGCGGCCGTGCCCTCGGGGCGGCTCCGGGCGGCGGCGGGCGAGGGCTGCAGTGCGGCGCGCGGCCGGCAGCGGGCGGCAGCGGGCACAGGCGGTGGCGGTGGTAGCGGCGCTCGGCGTTAGGCGGGCGGCGCCGGCGGTGCCCCGGGCGCGCTCACACACGCGCTAACACACACACACACACACACACACATACACACGGCCTCGTACACACTTACATACGCTCCGGCGCGCACACGCGGCGCGCAGCCCGGAGGGAGGAGGCTCGGTGCGGTTCGGCAGCGGCGGCAGCGTGCTCCGCGGGCGGGCGGGAGGGCTGGCGGGCGGCCCCCGCTCCCCGGCTCCGCGGCTCTGTGCAGCCCGTGCGGCCCCCGCCCTCGGACCCGCCCCCGGGGGTCGCCCGGCCCCATGCCCTGCAGCGGCGGCGGAGCAGCGCGCGGCCGCGGGCGGCTCTGAGGAGCCCGGAGGGAGCCGGCGACGAGGGGACCATGTACCGGGACCCGGAGGCGGCCAGCCCAGGTAAGCGCGGCCCCGCGCGGGCTGGGGCGCCCCGCACCGGCGGGCAGGACGGCGGCAGAGCCGGGCGCCGTCTCGGAGCCTCAGCCTGGGGCTGCTGTCGGCTGGAGCCAAACCGCCTGTCCCCCAGGGTCATCCCAACCCTGGGGGCTCGGGTTCGAGTGGCAGCGGCTCGGACCCTGAACCCGCAGTCTTGGACACTGCCAGGCTTGATGCCTGGGGCCGGCTTCGCAGTGTCCCCACAAGGACCTCCTCCCCCCGCCCCCCAGCAGCCCAAGGACAACGTGTGTGGCGGAGCGAGGAGCCACTGCCCCCGCGGGAGCAGGGCAGTGCCCTCAGAGGTACCCCCGCTCCCCAGCACCAGTGCCCAGGGAGGCTAGCGCGGAGGGACCCCAGGGCGAGGATCCTGCCGCTTTGGGCCAAGATCGTGGGCACAGGGGAGCGGAGTGGCATTGGCCGTGCCAACTGTGAATTGAGAGGGTGCCAGGGGGCAAGTGGGAATCTGGTGCAGCAGCAAGGCTGGGAGGCTTCTGGGGGGGTGGGGAACCGCAGGAGCGTGAGAGGGGAGGTAGGGGTACCTGAGGGGAAAGAGCGCAGTGGCCGATGACAATGGGGGTGCTGGGGGGATGTTCTCCTAGGCTTGAGGAGGGGGAAGCAAAGAAGCCAAACTCACTCCAGTGTTGTCGGGGAGGGAGGGGGAGGGGCGGCACCCCTTTGCATTTCTCCTCAAAGGGAGTGGCCGGGAGCCCACTGTCTGCTTAGCATCTTCCAAGTCCAAGCCAGCAATCCCTTCTCCTTCCTCGGGAAATTGCTCTGCCATTTCCTCCTTGGTTCCTGACGCCTCCTCACGCAGTGCCCACCTGTAGGCAGGTCCCCTGCAGCTCCTGCCCAGGCTCAGTCCCAGCTGCTATCTGGGGTGCTCCCCCTGACTCAGGACACCCCCCCATCTACCAATTCTGCCATCGGGGTCTCTTTCTGGGTTGCGGTCCGATGCTGAAAGCACCGCTCGGATCTAGGACCTACTCCCGGATGAAGAGTCTGTGGGCTGTCTGCTGCACCTGGGGTGCAGGTGCTGGAGGGAGGAAAGGCTTAAGACCCTCTGCAGAAAGCTCCTCCTGAGACTCTCCAGGGCAGGCTGATGGGAGGACAGGCTGGTGGGCACTGGCTTTGCCTGTTCTGGCCCCAGCCCGCACTTGCTCTTTCCTGGAGGGACAGAATCAACCCATCCCTGCCTCCTGAAGAACCAGCTGTCACCCTTGTCAGTTCATTTCAGCCCAGGTGGACTGGGGACCACCTACTGGGCTCCTGGTATCATGCTCACTTAGCACTTGGGTATAAGGGGAAAAGAGACTCAGTCTTCCCTCTGGAAACTCGTGCCCTTCTATGATTGTCCTCTAGGTGAGGGCTACAGGGGCATTGCCTTTGGAGAGTCCTCCCTTCATCTGTCTGGACCCAGGTCACAACCCTGGCATCTTCCGCCAAGAGGAGCCAGCTTCCAGCACCAGGGCTGAGGGCAGGGGCATCTCTTGCTTGGCTCACCTTCTCAGAAGGCAATAGTTTTGTTGAGAGACCAGTTCAGGGTAGTAGGCTGGAAGGGGGTGCAGTGAGGAGCCTCCCTTCCCCCTGCCCTGCCAGGCTGGCAGCCTCCCCCTTCCTTTCCAGTTAGGCCACTGGCCTAGGGCCCTGCCTTCATCCCTCTCCCCCACTCCTCAGCACTCCCACGCCTGGGCACTATGACATCACCATTTCTCCAAGCACCTCTGCCCTCTCCACGGAGGCCAACTTTGATGGGCTTGGCATCTTCTGGGCAAAGGGCCTAGACTCCAACACTGGCATCCCCTTGACCTTTCCTTCCCCCTCCCTGGTTGGATCTCCCTGTCTGGGATTGGGACCTGTCCTGTCCCCCTGCAGCTACAGGGCCCACTAGGGCCCCTGGCAGGGGCACTCTGTGTAGGAAGGGGGCTGACCTGAAGCACTGAATGGGTGGGGTCAGAAATAGTCTGGAGAGGATAGGGACAGTTTGGATCCTAGTCATCCAGAGATCTCCAAGGGGTCAGAGACTTCCATTTGGCCTCTGTGTCCCCCTGGATCTGTGCCCACCTCCTATAATCCCTAGAGCTCCAAGTCAGACTTCCTCTCTCAGCTCACTCAAGGCCGCCTGAGATGCTGTTCCTCCAGTCAGAGCTCTGTCCCTCACTGCTGCCCACCTCAGTCCCCCTTTGCCTTGCCAGGTGGGAGTGAGAAATGCAAATTGATTCCTGTGTGACTCAGACCAGTCCTGCTCTTCCCCTCTGGTCCCCCAGGAACCAGAACCTCTTCTATCCTGGTCTTATCCCCTTCTCAGGAACACCTGCGGCCCAATCCTGCTTTTAAAAACATTTCTTGTTCTCTCCCGCTGCCCCAGGCCCCTGGCTGGAGCCAGAGGGTCTCTGTGGTGCTCTCTCCCTACTCACTCTGCAGGTCCCCACAGGGCTCAGCGTAGGGTTAAGACCTTACCTGGCAGGTGCTATTCCCTCCCCCCCACTTGGGCTCCTGTCCCCCAGGCACTACACTCTCTTCCATGCATTATGAAGAAAGAGACTGTGGGAAAAAATGAGATCCCGATGGAGAACAAGAATGCAGACCTGTCCCCTCCCATGCACACCCATGGGCCCCTGCTCCACACTCTGCCCAGTCTCTCCAGCCATAACTGCAACCCCCCTCTGCCCTCAGGCTCTATCTTTTTGCATCCCGAAACTGGCCTGGCTGGGCTTCCCTCTGTCTCTCCAATTGCCTGTCCCCAAGCCGGGCAGGGCCTCAACAGGCCTGCAGGGGTCAGCGTTGCAGTGGGCAGGCAGGATGGCAGCAGGGAGGAGGAGGGAGGGAGAGGTGACCTTGCAGTGAGCTAGTGAGCAAGGCCAGAGAGCGAACTGCTGGGAGAGAGGTCAGGTCCTGGGGGCTGCCTCCCCAGTCCCCAGCCCTCTGTGAGCTTGTTCCCTCAAGGGTAACTGTGCACAAAACCTGTGTCTGTCCCACCTGTTAGTGGGATCTATCCCCTACAGACATTCTGTCAGGCAGCCCATTTCTTGGGGGTGTGGGTACCAGGCTCTTTCATATTGCCTGGGGCAGGGTCCCTTGGCATGGTGGGTCTCCTTTCTAAGGCAGAAGGATCCACAGAGTTGGTCCCGGCAATCCTCCACTCACTGGGCACAAGTTAGGGACCGAGGCTGATGAGGCTATGTGTATGAATCAGGAGTTAGGGGCACGGGCTACAGGGCAGATTAAGGTGCCCTATGAGGATCACCAGGGTTAGGGGCTGGGGCTATGGTGTGGGATGGTCCGAGGAGGCCTGACTCTGTCCCATCGTTTCACTGACAACCTTCTGACCTCCCAAGCTGCCCCATGTACCCAGTCACAGGTCATCCTGTAGTCTGGTATCCCAAAAGTTATGGCAGGGAGAGGGATCTTGGGCTGAGCAGGTCTAACACCAGGGTGGGAGAGGATGCCCTCTAGGGGTGTGGGCCAGAGTCCCCACCTCCCAGCTGTAGAGTTGCTGTGGAGACAGTCCCCTCCTTTGGCCTTGATTCATGCTGCTCTGTGGCCTTGTGGGGACAGCTCCACCAACAGGCTAGGTGCCCAAGGACTGGAGGATGGTGGGGACAGAGATGGCTCCAAAGCCCCTCCTTGCTGGGGGGAAGCCACTAGAGCAGGCTGAATTGGGATGAGAACATACAGGCTGGCTGGTGGCAGGTGAGGGGACAGCTGGAAGCCAGAAGAACAGGTGGGTATCAGTTGAGCAAAGACTGCCTTTGGCCAGCTGGGTCCTGACCCCCTAAGCTTGGGCCTCAGGGACACTGAAGGTGACATAGCATGCCAACGGGGGCTGCTCCTCTCAGCCCCCCCAGTGCTGCTGTGTGGGAAGGGCAGAGAAGGACATGGTCCCCTTCTCTCCCCCCGCTCCTTCTTACCCCCTTCCCCCTCCCTGACTCTGGTCCACTCACTGTTCTCTCAAGGACTCACCTCCCTCCCATGCTGGGGATGGAACCCCGGGCCTCTCACACACTAGGCAAGTGCTAACACTTAGCCACGTCCCAGCCCATCCTCTCAGGGACTGACTCCTTATTGAATCTGATGGACCATTTTCAATAACTGCTTCCCCCAAGGGAGTGAGTCTGAGAACAGCAGGGAGGAGCTGGTGAGGGGGGCCGCGTGGGGGAGAAGGGGACCCAGTACTGAGCAGAGGACTCTCCGTTGGAGGAGGAGTCTCAGCGGCACTGAGGCATCTCAGGTGGGCAGAGCGGGCCCTGCTCCCTGGGCAGTGCCTGCCAGGTGGTGCTCTTAGCCAGTGAGGTCTGCTTTCTCTCCCAGAGAGGTCACAGGTCTGGCCAGGTGCCGGAGCCAGCCTGTGCCAGCCCCATCCTGGGTGCCCTCCTGCCTTGCCAGGGAAGCCCAGCCAGTGGTGCCAAGCGAATTGTGCCAGTTCCATGGACATGAAAGTCACTGACCTTCCAGGCAACAGGGGCAGACCTCCTGGGCCCTGTCCAATGGGTGTCTGGAGGGCAGGGCTTTGGTCTCACCCAGCAGAATTCCCCCAGGGTTGGAACAGAGTTGGCAGACGGCGTGGGACCTGTGGAAGGGGCTGGATGGCGCCCAGAGCCTGCGCCTGGAATTCCAGACCAGTTGGTGTGAAGGTGGACTGGCGGTCACTGGCCGTGCTTTGGGGGGCTCAGCAGCCTCCACCTGGAAGGGCCCCTTGCAGGTGTGTGGCCTGTGGGGCCGGGCTGGGAGTCCACTTGCGTGGTGAGCTGGGACGTTGGGGAATTGATCTATTCCTGTGACTGTGCGTTCGGGGCTCCAGCGCGGGTGGCAGCAGAGGGCGGGGCGGCGTGCGCTGCCGGGTCTGTATGTACCTACGTGCGTTTGCGTGTGCGGGCGGCAGCTGGCCGGCCGTAATAGCTGCGCTCATCCGAGTGCTGTGCCCGCTGTAAACAGCAGCTAATGAGTGTATTTGTAGGGAGGTGTGT